GGGCCCTTGGCCCGCAGAAACGCCAAACGAACACCACTGGTGCTCAAATTTTTCTCGGGTGAACTTTAGGTTGCAAGATTTCTGGAGCTAACTGGTGCCAAAAATTTTTCGGGTGAGCTCTAAGTTGCAAGATTTCTGGACCTAACTGGTGCTAAAAATTCTGCGGGTGAGCTTTAGGTTGCAAGATTTCTGAACCTAACTGGTGCTCAAAAATTTTCGGGTGAGCTTTAGGTTGCAAGATTTCTGAAACTAACTGGTGCTCAACATTTTGCGGCTGAGCTTAGGTTGCAAGATTTCTGGACCTAACTGGCGCTCAACTTTTTTCAGGTGAGCTTTAGGTTGCAAGATTTCTGAAGCTAATTGGCGCCCAAGACTGTTCGGGTGAGCTTTAGGTTGCAAGATTTCTGAACCTAACTGGTGCTCAAAATTTTTCTGGTGAGCTTTAGGTTGCAAGATTTCTGGACCTAACTGGTGCTCAAAAATTTTCGGGTGAGCTTTAGGTTGCAAGATTTCTGAGCCTAACTGGTGCTCAAAATTTTGCGAAGATTTCTGGAGCTAACTGGTGCCCCAAAAAATTGGGGTGAGCTCTAAGTTGCAACACTTCTGGACCTAGCTGGTGCTCAAAAATTTTCTGGTGAGCTTTAGGTTGCATCCTAACTGGTGCTCAATAAATTTCAGGTGAGCTTTAGGTTGCAAGCTTTCTGAACCTAACTGGTGCTCAAATTTTTGCGGCTGAGCTTTAGGTTGCAAGATTTCTGGAGCTAACTGGTGCCCAAATTTTTTCGGGTGAGCTCTAAGTTGCAAGATTTCTGGATCTAACTGGTGCTCAAAATTCTGCGGGTGAGCTCTAGGTTGCAAGATTTCTGAACCTAACCGGTGCTCAAAATTGTTCGAGTGAACGTTAGGTTGCAAGAGTTAAAATGTATCTTTGTGTATCTTTCAGACCGGCTTCAAAAGATACATTAAGATACATGTATCTTTTGAATCCGGTCTGAAAGATACATAAAGATACAAAAAGATACACTTAGATACATCTTCATTGATAACTAAACGCTGCCCAAGTCTTTGGCCAGGGAATTTCAGGTTTAGGCCTATATCGACGCAAAGCAAAGCTCACCCGCAGGATTGTGAGCGCCAGTTAGGTCCAGAAATCTTGCAACTTAGAGCTCGCCCGAAAAATTGTGGGCACTAGTTAGCTCCAGAAATCTTGCAACCTAAAGTTCAGCCGCAAAATTTTGAGCACCAGTTAGGTTCAGAAATCTTACAACCTAAAGCTCACCCGAAAATTTTTGAGCACCAGTTAGGTTCAGAAATCTTGAAACCTAAAGCTCACCCGGAAATTTTTGAGCACAAACTAAGTTCCTAAATATTAAACCTAAAGCTCACCCGAAATTTATTGAGCACCAGCTAGGTTCAAAAATCTTGCAACCTACAGATCACCCGAAAAAAACAGTTTCGTCCAGAAATCTTGCAACCGAAAGCTCACCAGCAAAGTTTTGAGCACCAGTTAGGTCCAGAAATCTTGCAACTTAAAGCTCACCCGAAATTTTTTTGGCACCAGTTAGGTCCAGAAATCTTGCAACCTACAGCTCACCCGCAAAACTTTGAGCACCAGTTAGGTCCAGAAATCTTGCAACCCAAAGCTCACCCGAATAATTCTTATGTTGCAAAAACAATGTGTTTTACAACGTTGTTTGTCAACGTAGCGACACAAAAACTATCAACAAACTTTCAAAAAAACACTCATTTTGAAGCCAAGTTGGCGCCTGTTTCAACACCTTCAGGTAAAAGTACGGGCCCATCACCCAAAAAATGCCGATTATGCACGTCAACCCACCTCCCACGAAATCGTGTCGACCCCTGGTCGACCCCGCGGCGTACTTTTACCTTGTAAATTACAATAGAATATATAAGGTTCAAAAACATTGTGTTTTATAGGGTTTTGTGGGGTGGTAGAGCAAAATTTTCGTGGTGGTCACGAAATGCAAAAACTGTGGGTGTCGGTAATGCGAGCCGCGCGGAATTGCATAATCGCAATTTTTTGGGTGATGGGCGCGTTGCAACAAATATTGCGCAAAATGTACCCGAAGATGATCCAACAGAGGTCCCCAAGATGACCTAACATAGGCCCAAGATGGGCCGCCGTAGCCCCAACAACCACCACGACAACAACATAGGCCCAAGATGGCCAACGTAGCCCCAACAACGACCACCACCACCACCATAACAACAACAACGACCACCAGTGAGTGGTGGGCCCCTGGCCGGCTGTCGGGCGTCAGCCCTTAAATAACCTTCTGTTACCAACCGAAGGCCTCCGGCAAGGACACGGGCCGGTGGCCGGCGCCCGGATTTCGTTGCAGGCACAGCGCATGGTGAACCTCTTTTGGTGAACCTCTTGGTGAACCTGCTCACTCTCTCACTCTCCCACTTTCACTCACACTCACACCACTCCCTCACACCCCCACTTTCACCCACACACTCTCTCTCTCTCTCACTCACACTCACACTCACTCTCCCACTCTCACTCACACTCACTCTCACTCTCACCCACACTCACTCTCACTCACACTCCCACTCCCTCACACACTCACTCTCCCGCTCCCACTCCCACTCACACCCACTCACTCTCCCACTCGCACCCACACTCACTCTCTCACTCACACTCGCACTCACTCTCACTCTCACCCACACTCACTCACCCACCTTCAGTCTCACTCACTCTCACTCACACTCGCACTCACTCAGCCTCCCACTCTCACTCACACTCACACTCCCTCACACTCTCACTCTCACGCACACTCCCTCTCACCCACACTCACTCACACTCGCACTCACACTCAACCTTCACTTCATCGCCACCATCACCTCTCTGGACCCCAATGCGTCTAGATCTCTAGACTTTCTGCACACTGTTTGGGGTCTCTTGCCGAGATACTTTCGGAAGGTCCCCGAATTGTCGGTACCCAAAGAAGGCAACGGAGTGTGAAGGTCCCGGGTTCCGACTCAGGCTACGGAGCCGGTGAAGCTCCATCCTGATCACCAGTGGTGGTGCTACGTGCTGGCTTCGTGCTCACGAAATCGCATTGAATCGAAAAGCATTGAGTGTTTCCAGATCTTTCGGGGAAACAGCTTGGGCTTGGAATGTTAAGATACAGACATATACAGACCAATGTTACAGGTGTTTCGACACCACCTGGAGAAGATGAACGTGGACCAGACATGTTGCCAGAAGATGTTCCGAGTCTCGAGGCGACATCACTCGAAGAAAATCAATGATCTATATCCAAACACTCGCCCAAAACGGAGCCCTAGGCCTTCTGTCGTTTGGGGTGGGTTTGGAGGGTCCAGTCATACATTCTGAGGAGGTACGACTGGAGGTGAGTGTAGGGGAGGTGATAGCTATTCTGGTCAACGAGTCAACCACCGCAGAGGCCATCGGGAACGCCAAGGACAACGACGTCAAGGACGACGTTCGGGATGCCCGGGGCGTTCGCGCACAAGTCGGAACATCGAAGGATCCTGTTCTGCTCAATGCGAGCTCACCTCCAGCCTTTTCACCAGCACACAAACGCGCACCAGCCGCTGCACACGCGCCGCGACTCCGGAATGTGTTCGTTTGAGGTCTTGCCCACCATGGATGCTGCCTAAGTTCTATCGGCACAGGATGGAGCGAGGCAAAAAGCCACGGGCGTCCTTGCTTCAAATAGCTTCTTGCTCCTAGTAGTACGGCCAGGAACCCCCAACGTAGCCTCCTTGCTCCTGGTAGCGATGCCAGGAGCCCCTAGTAGCGTCCTTGCTCCTATGGCGGATGAATCGGTGAGATTCGGGGTTGAAGAGTTTCGAAACCGGGTGAAGCCAGGTGAGGTCTCAGCATCCAACATAGCCGATACGTATTACGGTCCGGGCGAAACCAGGATGACGTTCCTTTTGCCTTCGGGGCTGTGTTCATTGTGGAGAGAATGAGGAGTTTCGGTACTGAAGCAGATGAATGATGGAACGTGAAGGAGCCGTTTCGAAGAATGCAACCAGAGAAAGGTCATGGTCCATAGTCATGGTTCATGGTTCTTACTTCCTGCCAATGACATGGCTAAATCCATCTAAATCCACCAGAATCCACCATATTGTGTGGTATGCCGGTATGCAGACCGAACACTTTCAACCCTCTCTTAAACAGTTTGATTCAATGCCTGTTTATCAATGTGAAGTCACCGGCCGTGCATGTCGGGGTCAGAATGGGATGATGGTCACACCCCAAAAAGTGTCTGGTCCTATGCTGTCGTGCTGTCCACCAGTGGTCAACCGAGCCATTCGCCATGCCGAAACCAGCTCTGCATATGCCATCGCCATGCTCTTGACTGCGACGGGATGCTTGCCGTTGCCGAATGCTTACCCACTCACCAGTCGTCGTGTGCCTAAACCCAGGAAGTACGTGGATCACTTGCAGGTCACCCTTAAACAAGGACTGGGATTATCCCCGAAACGTTGGAACACGTTTGAAGGGAGGTGTGCCTCAATCCCTAGGCCTCCAAGTACCTTCTGAGAAGGTGTTTGGGGTGGGCTTGGAGGGTCCAGTCATACCGAACCTGAGGAGGTACGACTGGAGGTGTGCCTAAATAGTTCCAGGGAAAATGCTTCGGGAGTTTTTGTGGAAAACATCATCAAGTTTGCCAAAGATTCGACCGAGTTGTCCATCGCCTTTCAGTTGAAGATCGTGAACCTGTGCCAGACAAAAGGTGCCATTCTGCCCTGGAAGAGGACATGGCCGTTCGTTTCGTTCCCCAAAACACCGTCCCAACACCACGTTCCATGCACCTCGTGGGTCGCCAAGGGAACCACCCATCACCTCGTCGCGGCTTTCGCGGCCGAATTCGACGGCTCCGCGACACTGCGCCGCGCCGTGTACCGTTAGACGCACCCGGAAGCCTGGCACAAGACCGGCCCGAGAGTCGCCGAGCTGCGCTGCGCCGAGCGACACCCCCACAGCTGCGCCGGTCGTCATGTTGAGCTCCGCGAGCGACTTCAGCGCCTTGGCGCGAACGGCGCGGCGTGGAGGCGGTGCGTTCGGCCTTGGGTGAGCTTCTTCGACATGCTTTTGGCCAAAGATCAATCCCCAAGTCCATCCTCACCCGCCAGTAGAACAGCCGCCCGTTGACCGTTGACCCAAAAAAGAACCGAACGGCAGCTCCTGGGAGTGCAGTTTTTCACGTTCTTTTCATTAGCAATAGGCCTAGATTTTACTACATAAACTGCACTCCCATATGCATGATCATTTGGGTCACCTGAACCTGGTAGCAGACAAGGCAATATTTGCAGACTCTTGGAACGAGGGAGGCCAAAAACCTTCAAAAAACAAAAAATATTCTCAGACTCTCTGGAAGGGGGGGTCCCAGCCAAGACTCTTTGAATATTATTGTTTGTTTGTTATTTTTTTTGAATGTGTTTTTGTTTTTTTGGTTTTCCACTGTTTTCGTAGTATTTCGGAGACCTGTTTGCAATTGTTTCGCTCATCAACTGTCTTTCGGTCTGTTTCGCTAGTTCGGTTTGCAGGAGCCAATCGCTAAACGCTGCAACTAGGAACATACTGGTCATGAAGATCAAAAAGGAATGGATCCTATATACATATAAATATACATATGTGAATTCCAACTAGGAACATCCGGCTATGATTAGTTACTTGGAATAAGTATTCCTTTATTATGTTTATATGTTTGATCTTCAGCCACCGGACCTGCCATCACACTCATACGTCTATACACTTGCTGCACCCATACGATGCTGGACGTTTCTTCGCAAAGCGGTTGATGTAGACTGCCTCTCCCTTGTTTGTGCTTTCATTGTGCTTCTTTGCGAGGTACATGATCATAAAGTGGTGCCAGTTTTTTCGCATTTCGTTGGACGCCTAGTTCTTCAGCCACGCGAATGTCTGCTCACAAATCCCAGTGTTGCACCAATTGATTCGCCTGTTCAAACGAGTGATGCGACCTTAGCGCATCATGAACGAAAACTTCTTACAATGACATTGGGGCTAAGTAGGGGTGATGAAGGTTTAGTTGAACAACCATATCCGTTTTGAAAGTATGCGCTCGAGCAACGCGCCCAAACCGTGGCATTGTCTTCCTTACAGAGTGCTAAAAGATTTAGAGTAAACTTATGCCTATGATGCACCTTTTTATGTTTAAAAACCTAGCTATGACTCAAAAAAGCATATGCCCCTAGTAGATGCCCTAACATAATCTAATGGCCGAAGATTAAACTATACAATATCTTCAATCAAACAGTGCACTTATTTCATTTTGAGTCATAGCCATAGCAATATGATAATGCTAAGCTTCAGATGGGTTCAAGAAAGCCTTGAGGAAGGACACGTCATTTTTCTGCATCTGCCCATCGTGAAAAACACCAGGCTTGTACTTAGTCAAGGGCTCGGGCTTGAAAAAGTCTAAGTGTTTTGCGGTAAGAATGGAGGGGATGAGCTCTTCCTCGCGCTGATCCTGGATGATCTCAAACTTGCTCTGCATGAAGGCGATGGTCTTTGAACCAAGGGACTTTCCTGTGCGAGTTTTTCCTAGCCATGTGATGGCATTCTGCCTGATGCTGGGGAGCATATATTTTTGTTGAAAAACCATGCTTTGAAGCTCTTGAAGGTGAAGGGCCAATACTCTAGGGTTTTTGCATTTTGTCTGCCTCTCATGCAATTCTGCAAGGCAGTGACAACTTTTCCTTCGTTCCAATTTTCAATGGGGCTGCCTGGTGTGTGGATTTGCTCATCTGTCCACTCCATGAATTGATTTCTATTGTTTGATTTCGGGCCTTCCTCCTGGATAAAGTCGTACCCTGCGCTGCAGGCTGCACTGCCTATAGTTTGTTTCTTGGTGAACTTTGGTTGAACTACCCAATGCCGAATCTGCATGCCACCCATGAGGTCAAGCATATAGTTCATAGCCAATAGACCCACCCTGAAATGCCGCCCATAGTCCCACTTGCGTGCTACACCTTTGCACGCATCCACACACATGTTCACTGGCAACTTGTTTTTGTGCATGTCGTAAATGTGCTTGATGATATTGTCGTAGTTTGCTTCAGGTCTCCATTCTCAGGGGTCGTGGTGGGGACAATGACGATTTGCATCAAGTACGGTACTGGCAATTCACTTTTGAAATTTAAACAAAAGGGTGCTGGTAGGTTTTCGTAGTCACCTTGGGCACAATGTGTATAGATCACCTTCTCAAGCACATCCTCTGCACCCGGAAGCTTCAGGTCCAAGATTACATCGAAGAACTGTTGGAGCTTAGTCCCTCCTGCCTGCAAGATACGCAAGGGTAGGTCTCCCACCTCAACCTCACCAACCTCCCTGGATGTTTTGATGGGTTTGGTCTCTGGCCCTGGCCCGTTTGTTTCCTGCAGTGCGTGCTGCCTCATCGAGGGTGATGAATCCATCCTAAGATTGCTAAAGATGACAAAAGTTAAAGATGAAGTTATGAAACCAGGAGTCACAAGGGGGTGCCTATTGGAGGTTTAGGGGTGCCCATTATCCACTCACTTAGGGACCAAACACCACCCCTTTGTGACCCCTGGAATATGAGATTTGAGCCTATAGTGATTATGCTAAAGTTCTGCCATATCTTACTCCAAAGAAAAAATTTAGCTTTTGCAGTAAAGGTACCCTTCTGACACCCAATTGTCTTGCCAAACTCTCACCTTCTAGCTCTGCCATCACAAGAGGGCCAGGCTCAAAAGCAACTTGACACTAGACGCTGATGAGCCACAACACTAGTATACACATATCTTCAATCACATTCAATCTTCTAAAAAACTGCACTCCCACAGCCTGCCACTTTCTTTCAAAGAACCGGTTCCGTGGCGACCAGCGCACAGTGAAAAATGTCGAGATGGCCACCCTGGCGACCCGGACCAGCGCAGCTTGCTCTCAGGCAGCTTGAGCTTCAAGATTTGCTGCGCTTTGAATCTCAAAGGCCGAACCCGGCACCGCGACGGCGCGCCGCGACGGCGCAGCGGAGGTTCCCAGCGCGGGCGACGTCGCGCGATTTGGGGGGATTTTGGGGGGGGAAGTTGGGGTGCTCCAAGTGGAGGTAGATGAAGAGTAGAATAGCAGTAAGGGCTACTGAAAAAAGGTGAAACCTTTCCGTGGTAAATATGCAACGGATATTCCAGACTCGTTGCTTTGAATTGGCCACGAGTTCGATCGAGGCATCTTGCTCTTGGCCACCTCGCTCTGGCTGCTTTGGAACGAGCTCGCGTCCAATTGACGCTGGGATCTGGTTAGCAAGACAACCGATGAAAGGACGAAAGAAAGGACCGGATGTGTTATGATGTGCACCCCCTTCTATAGAGTGGCCGGATTCTCAGGGCATGAAAGATCATCCGGTAAGAATCAGATTTGAAGTTCCTCCACATTTCAAGATCTGTTGCATCGTCCATGGCGACCCCAGCCTTCCCCAATGAAAATCAGCGACGAAGCACCGCCAACGGAAAGACATGAGGCGAAAAGCAGACCCTCAAACCCACACACACACACACCCATGTCTGGAGGGTATCACTATAGTGCAGTGTAGTGCCTCGATTCTTCCAGGCTTAGCGCTTCTTTCGCTCCACTTTTTCAGAGCTACCATGCTTCCTTGTTCGCTCATGCTCGACCGATCCTTCTCTTTCGACCCCCAAACGAGTCCTTCGTAGACGGCCGGAGGCTTTCCGGAGGTGCCGTCCAATGACTGTAAGGCCACTGTCCTGCCACCACTGCGCCTGGGGCCATCGTGTGTGTGTGTGTGTGGGGGGGAGGCAGAGGGCGCAGCGCTGCTGCAACTGGTCGCTGAGGTCCGGTCATTGATTAGACAGGTGCAGGAAAATGACTGAGAAGAGGAGCGCTGTGGTGGGAGACTCGCTGATTCATCCAATCCCCCCACCATGAAGACATGTTTTCACAAAGCAAAATGGAGTACATCATCTTGCACGAGAAAGTGGTAGAGATCAGTTCATCCATCGTCACAAGAACAGCCCAATAACCCTGGCAAAATCTATATGTCCCGTCTTCTTCCCAAGTCGAACGCTGGACCCGTCCGCAACTGGACGTTGAGTCTTCCGGCCCGAGAATCCCCCCCAGGCTTGCTGACGCGTACTCCGCCGCGCGCGGCCCGGGCTCCGTCTTTGGTCCCGAGGTTCTTGATGGCGATCTTCTCGCTCTACGTGGGCGCCTTCCTCATGGGTCTCTTCCGCGAGGCCTTCACCACCCTGCCGAGGTGCCTTTGGATGGGCTGAGTTGGAGGGCCAGAGAGCGAGACAGAGGGATGGAGGCCAGAGATGGAGGTGGTTTTGAGGGGTTTTTGCGTAGGGTACCCTCAAGAAATATAAGAAATGGAGGATCCCTCTTCAGACTGGGCAATGCTGGGTGACTGAGGTGTTGTTCTCATGTTGATGGATTTCAGGAAGAAAAGCAAGAGCCATCAATAATCAATAGCCCTAATTTGGGGTGGCACATGTTGAGCGCACTGATTGTGTTCAGCACTCAGCTCGCTGAGGAAGTTTAACGCGCGCTACATCTCTGGAAGGATCTCGTGGTTGGCTGGCATGTTGATGTCACTTGGAGCATTCTGATCAACCCGAAAAGTGCATCAGAGAACAAACAGGTGGGTTGCAAAGTGACTCGTAACAGGTGGGTTTCTAAAAGGACGCTGTTTTGGTATGTTCTGGTGGTTTTATAAGCTTCATGACCTGTACCCTTTACCCGATTCCCTCCGAGACTCTCCGCGGCCAAGTGCTCGAGTCCGACCGGTCGATTTGGTGGGTTTAGGGTTTAGTGATCTTCACTGAAGTGCGATGGGGTGTCCACAAGAAGGACACAAGCAGGCTGGGGTGCTTCGTTGGATTTACATCTTCCTTGGGGTGCTTCGTCGCACGATCCCATCGAAGCCCTCCAGGAGATCGGACGACCAGCACGCGGTCTCCGGTCTCCGAAGACAGGAGGGTGCTGGGTGGGTGCGAAGGGCCCGAAGACAGGTTTCAAGTGGTGACCGAGTGCTGGTTTAGGGTTCGCACGCCAGCTTGGAACACTTAATGTTGGTTTTTGGTTGAACAACTCGCATCCAAGCGCTCTTTTGGTGCAAAACCGGACATCGCACAGAACACCACGCTCCCGGCGACGAGAGATCGACGCGTCGATCCGCCGACCATCGACAGTCCGAGTCGGGGAACGTCGGGCGCGTCGTGGTTGTGCCGCCAATCGCCGTTCGAGGTTTCTCTACAACCTGCCCTTCATGCTCTTCGTCTTCAAGCTGGGCTTGAAGCGTTTATACACCGACCCAGAGACCTTGGATCAAGCACCTTGGCCAAAGCAGGGCAGCAGGGCTTGGCTTTACACCAAAGAAAGGATTGTGTGGCTCATGTTTGGACGTGTCACCCTTTGTTGGGTAGGTGTTTTGTTTCCATGGTCCTTCCTGTGTATATGAATTGATAGGTACACCGTATATATCGGCGGCTCAATGGGTTCTCAAGTCACTTCAATCCACTTCACACCCCACGACACTTCCGGCGCCGCGGGAACTTCACTCACTTGGCGTCTCCGGTCGTCTCGGACGCGTCGCGCGTCGCGAAGTCCGAGGACTCCGAGGAGGTCATGGAGGTCTTCGGGATGCTCTTGGTCGAGGCGCCGAACCGAGCGGAGCGGGGGCGATGGGGGGAGGTTCAGTTCGGTGCCCGGGAAAAGGCGAAAGAGTAACAGGTCGGGAAGGTCCGAGGATGTCTGGAGCGATTCTGTCCAAGTCTTTTGGAGATAGATCAGCATTCCTGTTTCGGAGCTCCAACCGAGTCGGGCAGACCTTTCGAAGGCTTCGCCGACGTTTTGGTCGCCTCCGGTCCCCTCAGTGCGACAATGAGCAGGCCCGGCTGTACCGGTAGCTGGACCGGTGCGAACCTCTCACAGAGGGGTGATGGGAGGAGGGTCCGCTCACCCGGCATCGCTCCCTCGGTGTCCAGAAGTCGGACCAGAAGTCGCAGTGCAGTGCGGAAGGCGTTGAGTCTCGCTGCGGAAGGAGAGGATCGGTTTAAGTGTTTCAAACCTTAAGCGTCCAAAGCCGGCGAATCACGCAGTGGCGATCTGCGCACGACCTGCGAACGAAAGCACCGGCTTGCCCAACGACCATCATTTCTGAAGGTGAAGGTTCAGCAGATGATGAGTGTGGCCCGGCAAACAGACCACAAGAGACCAGTAAGTGAATAGCCCTAGAAAGGTCCCTAAAGGTTATGTTGGAATCCATTTCTCTTCCCCAGTCTCTTTGTCTCTTTGCTTTGCTCTGCTCATGCTGCGAAACAGGGCCTGGGCCTTTGTTGTTCCACCTTTTTCTTAGAGTCTAGCTGTACGGACTTGAAATGCGCATTCCTTTGCATTTTCACTGGAGCTCGTTTTTAGGTCAGCAGTGGACCACCGATCCAATCCATTCCCCTTTCACCGACCAGGTGATGCTGGGGATGCGTGCCTTCGCGGTGTGCCTTGTAGTCCCTTGACACACCACTCTCGCGTGAGTGAAAGAGATGGGAGCCAGCTGTTTCGCGGGGCGGTATCGGAACCAGACCGGCAACGGGGAGTTGGAATGGAGTTTGTTGTGCTTCTGTGTGGTCGCATATCGAAACGGTTTTCGTTCATCCGACAGCTGGGTGCCAATGAGGGTGACCTGCGGCCGTCAAGGACGGACTCTCCCTTCCAAATGATTTGGGTAGAATATGATATGTGTATAGGCCTTTAGTGACCATCATCATCCATGCTCTGTTACTGGTATATAGGATAGACCCAATATGACCCAATGCATGTTATACTATATGTATATTTATAACTAAAAAGATCTATTAAATATATATTGTCACTTTGCAATCTTAATCTTGCAGCCTGCCATCTTGGAAACAGCAGCATCGTCTCGGAGCCCCTGATCGAACGGCACATCCACCGTGACCCATTCCGAACACTCGGAAACCCCCAAAGAAACCGGCCGCGATCGTGATCGCGCGCGTGATCTCGCGTACGCGTGAACCGCACGGTCCAACCGAACGCGAACGTCTCGTGCCTCTGCGTCGCACCGCGTCGCAGTCGCTGAAGGTGGCCATTCTGTTGAGCTTCGCACGTTGGAGCGCCATCCACGAAGCCTCGCTGGGACTCGTGACGTCCTGCGCTGCGACGTCCGCTTCTGCCGCGACGTCCAGCGCGTTTGTGGCGCGGAAGGCGGAGGAGTTCTACCGTCCCAGGATCCAAGCGTGTGCCTTGGGTGGTGGCTTAGCGGGTGTGGCAGCTGCGCTGCTGTTTGCGTGGGCGTTTGGGTGGTGAGGAGGGCAAGACAGTGCTCGTAGCTTGGTAGCGTTGGAGTAGGGAACCGCGAAAACCCTTCGACAGGTGGTGACTGGTGTCTCACGTTTCTCGGATAGGTGGGACAATTACGTTCTAATTGATCAGCTGAAATGAACAACAAAGGGCTGGGGTGACGGCGTGACTCACCAGATCACGGGGTTCAAGTGAGACTCGCCATGTCATTCTGCACTCTTCTGGGTTCTGGATGTGTCACAGACGTCTTTGGTGTTGCTTCTCCGACTATCTCCGCTGCAAGGTGTGCACAGTGCAGTTTGAAACGGTCCCAGCTGCGATGCCGAAGGAGTGCTCCCCGGCGCCCAGGGCGCCCGGTTTCAACGGCGGGAGTCGGTGTTTTGGTTGAAAAAGGGTGGTTTGGGAGTCGGTCAGACAAGAAAAATAGGGTCTTTAAGTATCTTTAAGTGCCAGCACCACCCACCGGACAACCAGGTGCGCTCGCCTGGCAATGGAACTAAATCCGTCAGACGGAAGGACCGACCTGAGTGAAAATCAAAAGGACCAAAGGCTGAACGTTTGGCAGAAATGTTCCGCGCCCCCAAAAAGCAGTTGAGCTAGCAGAGCTTCTGACTGCGCTTTCTGTAAAAACACCGTCGAGCAACAATCAAAAGCTATTTGGCTAGTAGTTTCTCATGTTTCTCATGTTTCTAGCCAATCGAAACGGATATCTTCCAACAGTCTCTACAGACCCCAGATCCTGACTCCTGGCCAGTCAAACAAGAAAACATCAGCGTCTCCTACCGATGTCCATCTTCCCAGCGTGTTCTACCGATGTCCCCGTCGTCCATGTCGGGCCGTCGCGCTGAGGTTTCGAGCCGAGTTTTTGAGACGAGCTGTTTATGCTCCAAGTGTTTAGTGTTCTCAGGAGAGTGTGGGGGCGGTTTTTTGTGGGGCACAAAAGAACGCAGAACTGGAGTGTTGGGGGTGGTTTTGGAAAGGAACTAGGCTGGCCGGGGAAGGGATCAACGGGACCTTTTCTCAAACCTCAAAGAAGCTGGGAAGGATGGAGGGGAAGACCCTTCCCCAGGGCATCCAGGCAAACCACTATAGCTGGTAACCAGTTGGTTCCAAAGACTAAAACCATAGACCGAACGAATCCCTGGTTCCTTATATAGTGGTAACTGGGATGCACTGGGTTCCATTCAATGGATGTTCACTGGCCAACTCTGAAGAATTATCCTCCCCTCAACACTCAGACGGGTTGCAAAGGGCTTGCTTACCGCACTTCTTGGGGAGGGCGTGCTCAGATCATTCTAGACCTGTGCACACCGTGGTGAGAAGTAACACTGATTTCAGAAGTGGAACAAAAACCGATTTCTCTCTCTTATCCGACTTGTTTATTCCATGCTTCGTCTATCCCTCAGACGCCTGAGAACGGAATTCGTTTCTCCACCACCGCGGTGCGAATCCTTCGTGCCGCGGCGAATCCAGAGGTGCCCCCGCTCGCGGGGGCCCTCCGTTTGAGCTGTCCATCTGCAAAGGACGAAGCCTCCCCAGCAGCGAAAGGGTTTTCAACTCAACGGGGGATGGCCATCCTTTGGAAGCAGAGACCAGGGCTGGGCTGGACGACCAGGGCTGGGCCAAAGGTTTGACGGCTGACATGAAAGCGAAGGTGTCCGTCATTGGCTCCATCAATGCTGACCACCGGACCTGCCATCACACTCATACGTCTTCTTTGCGAGGTACATGATCATCAATGCTGATAGCGGATCCGTTTTGGTTTGGTCTTTCTATGCTCGACGACCCGTCACACCCGTTCAGAGCGACGACCGTCCCACCCGTGTGCGATGCCGATCACAAGCTCGGTGTCCACACACGACGACCGCGGCCCACCGTCGGCGTGGGGCCATTTGAGATACCCCACAGTCGCGTCAGACCCCTAGAGACCGCAGAGGCGCGGGGAAGCTCCTCCGAGCCGGAACGGAAGCAAAAAGAGCCGGAATGGGGCGGGCATGACCCAGACACTCCATGGGACTGGCATATTTTGCTACATTGGGGTGGTGCCAGAGGGGTCAATGTAGGCATATATGGCATACATGGAGTGTCTGGGTGATGGAAGGATGGTTGGATGGGTTGTGGAGGCACTGTGGAAGAGGGTAGTCGGATGAGTGCCTTGGTGGAGTTGTTTGGATCATGTGTGGAGTTGTAAAGTGCAGCTAGACGGGTCTGGATGAGGTTTCACTCAAGAGCTAGTGAAGTAAATGAGATATCAGAAAGCGCAAGACCCATGGAGTGTTTGGGTACTGGTCGTTTTGACCCAGGTCTTCTTGTTGGACACAGAGCCGAGCTGAAACCAAATCCAGAGTTGATAGCCTTCCAACCAATTTCGTTTCGTGGCACAGTTCCTCACCAGTTCCAGATAAGAAGTGTATCAACTGATAAGAATTTCTCCCCATGTTCCTAGATGTTCCTACCTGATCATGGCCTCCAACCTACTAGCGATGGCCTCCCACCTAATTTAATAGCGTCCTTGCTACTAGTAATGTCGCATGCCCTTGTTACTAGTAGCTTCTTGCTCCTAGTAGTCTGGCCAGGAGCCCATAGTAGCATCCTTGCTCCTAGTAGCGATGCCAGGAGCCCCTAGTAGCTTCTTGCTCCTAGTAGTCTGGCCAGGAGCTACTACTAGCGTTCCTTGAACCCGGTCACGTCTGTGCGCAGCCGATGGGGCTCGGCCGTTGAAGCGCTGTCCGGAGCGCCGTCCGGAGCGTCGCCGTTGAGGCGGGCGACGGACGAACTTGGGCGACGCCAGGGTGATTTTAGAACCAAAGGTGCGCCAGGAGCAAAAGAAGGTATGCGCCATTATGCACTGATTCTTATCTTAAGGTTTCTTCAGTGTTTCTGTGTCGATTTCTATGCGCTTTCGTCCGGGGAAAGAAAGACTCCTTCACTCACGAAAGATGGCACACTCTCATGCCTTCCTGGAACCTCGCTGCGACGTCTTTGGGTGTGCTAAGATGCCCCCCCGTCGATCGACGTGCAGATTTGTAGCAACTTGTTCCAGCTCCAAACCACTGGAAGCACCGAAGTCCATCTGCACCTTAGCAGGAGAAAGAGTTGGTAGTGGCTTGAGAGTCGATGGGCACCATCCCCCCGACCTATACCTCTCCTGCAAACGATCCCATGAACCGCGAAGAAATGGACTCTGTGCTACGACGATGCTCATCTACCCAGTGGTTCTCACGAGTCCGTGGTACTCTGCAGGAGGTTCGGTGCTTCTCACGGTCCGTGGACCCCCTTATTTGACCCGAAGACCGCCCTCGAACGAAGCGGGGGGGGACGAGGCCGCTCGTGGGGCCTCCCCCGCAGGTCGCGAGGAGATCTCAGCATGGGCTCCTCGTCACGGACTGGATGGCCGGTGGTTGTGTCGAGTGGGGGCGAGAGATGCCGCCGTTCGACCTGTAACAGTCGGGAGAAAACAAGAACAGCACGATCGACTGGGAGAAAGATGTCGGCCATGACGAAACATCATCATCTGCGATCGACTGGGCATAGGAGATACCCTAGAAATGACACATGAATGCTGAAGTTTCGACTGACTCTTTGACTCCACTCTTGGGGGAGATGTTTTTTTGAAGTTTCCGCAAGCAAATTCATTTCAACAGTCATGAGCATAGACATGGACATGGTACCACATGGTCACTGAAAAAGGTCCAGTGTCAATAGTCAAGACCCGTAGCGTAGAAGGGGGGACTTCCAGGCTTAAACACGTACGGTGTTTCCGATGGACATGAGTGAAAGTAATGAACAAACACCTTGGTCCTTGTGCATCGAATGCGTCTCATCACATGGCTTTCCCAACCAAAGCGCCTGCGCAAAACCGTCACGGTGCAGTCCAAAACCAGGTGCACGCCATGACCTGGTTTTGGCCAACAAAAGTCGGAGCTATGCTGGTCGTTCCCTACTGGGGGTGGGTAGGCCCGATGTCCTGGTTCCATCAGCGAGCGAAAGAGCGAACGAGCGCCCCCCACTGAGCAAGCCAAGCCAAGCAGGAAGCTTCGCTGTGGTGCGCCAGTCCAACACGATCGCAGTAGAGCAACGTGCAACTGGAAAGCCAGTCCCAACCGGCAACAATTGGTTGGTCCAATATGGAGCCAGATTGAGATCCTTTACAGAAGTGGTTGGAACATGTTGGAACTGTGGCACACATCCAGAACTCTTTCTGGTTGGGACCGGGTTTCCAGGCGTATTTGATGGTGATTTGTGTTGCATCTCAGCTTGGTCCTCGACTCGAGCTTCTAGGCAAGCGTGCCGCACCAAAGCAGGCTGGATGAAGGGTCAGAAGAGATTGCTGATTGGAAATCTTAAGCTTAGGAGGCTCAGGCTCATTCTATCAAGCCGATCTTCAATTGGATTAAGGGCTCTTTGGTGGAAGAAAATGCATCATTCCTCAAGTGATTGTTTGGCGCTTTTCGTGGATCTAGATCTGCAAGGCCATTGCTATGTCCAATCTAGAATGTATAGATTCTACCATGTGTTCTTGGGCCAAACTGTCCGGCAGAGGTCAAACCCCGATCCAAGCGGACTTATACATTGGGATGGTGTGAGGGGTCAGTCAATCTTAGTAGATTGATATCATATCAATTCAATTCAATTCATATATCATGAAAAGCCACATGGGGATGCTTGAGATCTTCCAAGCCCGATGGTTTTCGGGAGTGTCCCGTTCCTCACCTCTTAACGTACGAGACAAGAATAGTTTGACATGTGGACGCCTCTTCAGGGCAGTGAAGGGAGTGCTGGCACAGGACACATGGAGTGCTTTGGGACCACTGCTCAGTCCTCCCCACGTCTCCTAGGATCCGGGCAGTGCCAAGAAGGCGAAGAAGGTCCGTCCCGAAGTGTGTCGCCCGGGGGGTGGGGAAGAAGGATGGCTGTGAAAAGCAAAGACCCTCTTGGAGGAAAGAAAGTGAAACACCACCGTAGACCCCAAACAGTTGGGACAACAAAGAAGCATTCCCGTTGGTCCATTTTTGTTGAGACATGGGAGACAAGAAGGAAGACAAGGCGGACACAATGAAAACAAAGAAAAAGGATGAAAAGGAAAGAACACCCAGCTCCTTTCGCCCGCGTTCGACGGCGCTTTTAGACGTGCGGCGCGTCGACTCTTGGCTGGGCAAACTAGGTGGCGTTGCCGCATCACATCCCAAGCTAGGAACAAGTGCATCGCTTCTAGTAACAAGTGCCTTACTCGTAGTAACAAGTGCCACGCTAGTAGTAACAAGTGCCTTACTAGTAGTAACAATGTTTGCTATTAGAAACAATAGATCCCATAGCTTCTTGTTACTACTAGTAAGGCACTTGTTACTAGAAGCGATGCACTTGTTCCTGGTGTTGCCGCATCACATCCCAAGCCGATGAAGACTTCACTCTCTTCTCACGTCGGACAGCGTGACCTGGAGTTCCAACACAAGGACCACGGTTTTTTCGCCGATGAGGGTGATGCCGAAACGCGCCACGCGTGGCAATGAAAAGGATCGGAGAGAGAAGTGTTGCATCGCCACGGTGGATGCCATGCCACTGGACTCCAACGACTGGAACTCCGCTGAGCCCTGGCCCAAACGCCAAAACGGACGCCAGTCGACGACGGAGGCGCACAGAGTTGGGGCACAGAGTTGGCTGGTTCTTGCCAGGTCATTCGCCCAATTCGCCGCGCTGACTGATTCGCCCATAGGGCGATCGACAGTTCAATCCATTCACGGACCGTTGACGCGTTTGTCGCACGCGTGCAACGTGCGTCCACTCCTCAGGAAGAAGAGCCGCAGCCGGTCCGGCAGCCCAGTTCGATGTGTTCCGGTCGCGATCCGCGAAAGCGGCCGGGGGGGAACTGGCATGTTGGTGTCTTTGTACACCCTGGAAGACTAACATGGATCCTGAAAACCACTGGTTGGTAGAGGAAAACCATCCTGGAAGATGGGTCATTATCAGGGTCTATGTTAGTTTGGCCTGAAAATCACTCCGCGCGGCTCAACATTTGGGTGGATGCCGAGAGGATGGGCGCAGCTCTCAGACCCGACTGAGGAGGCTTCGCCCAAAGCCAAGGGAAAGGCCAAAGCAAAGGCCAAGGCTAAGGCTAAGGCGCAAGCGCAAGCGTGACACTTTTTCAACATTCGGTCTTGGTGGCAACTAGCATTCACACTGTCGTGGGATGGTTTCTGCAATTTGAAGCAAAGACTTGCTCTTTACGTGGTAGTTCACAACACTGGTCTCTACCTCTTCCCTAGCAGTCGAACCACCATTGTTTTAATAGCCTTTACCGAACCACCCTTGTTTTACGGGTTTTACACTACAAAACCACATCAACCATTTTTAAACATGGTCGACTTGACTTCCAGTCTCTTAGTTACAGTTTCAAACCGTTTGCTTGAAACATTGGACCACCTGAGCTCGGCACCTCCCCAGCGGCTAGCCACCCGAGCTCCTGAAGGAGCTCCTTCTCGGTCCGTTCCGGGGCGATGTGGAGGCGGAGCCCAAGCCGAAGGCCGAACCCGCCGAGCCGAAGGCCGAGCCCAAGGCGGGGAGTGAAAGGTGGGCTTTGCTGTGTCTGGCTGTTTGAACCGACCAGCACCCACCCAGACTGGCCACAGCTCACCACCCCAGATCTGGATGGCTCGGAAGGACGATAATATCAACGATGTGCATGTGATGCATCGTCGTTGACCACTGTCTGTCCATGTAACCACCCGAGAATCTCTCGGTGCCTTTGTCCGTTGGGTGTCCCTCGCATCGGGGGCGTTTGGATGTGTGTGGGGCCTTTGGTTCCACCGGCATCCGGTGGATCCGACGCCTCCGGTGGATCCGACGGTGTGTTTTGTTTCGCTTCGCAGGGGTCGCAAAGGGTTCATCGACGAAAGCCCATATGGCGGACCATACATGCCACATGCCATAGATGCCAGCTTCCAAAGAGACGTCAACAGGAGCCTGGAACGCAGAAGCACAGGAGAGCAAGCGCAAAATGTTAGAAAAATGGCAAGTCATGAGGAGCCAAGTCAAAGCATCAACTGCCTGGGGGGGGGGGGCGAATTCCGTGGAAAGTACTGCTTGCCGTCCACTCACCTGTTAGAAAATTCAGTAGGGGTGTTGGGCTGCAGCCACACCCAACAATCAATGTTAAGCCACTCCAACCTCTTCGATCGGCATATCCCTTTCGGTCCAATGTAGCTCCTCCCAATGCAGATCAACCTCCAACCTAGTAGCGTCCTTGCTACTAGTAGTAATGGCCTCCAACCTAGTAGCTTCTATAGCTACCAGTAGTGATGCCCTTCAATTGGTTTCTGTGTGTGTTCTTTGCTAGCGCTGGCCGGCCAAGGGTGATTGCCACCACTTCTTGCATGAATAGAACTCTCTTGTCCAACGCCGATTGTGATGGAAAGACTTTTCCTGCAGTTGGTTCTCTTCATCCCCTTCAAATACAGATGCAACACCTATCTCGATCAAAGGTTCACACTCTCACCACCCCAGCAAGCATGATGGGCCGTTTTTCTTAATCAGGGTTCTCTTGATGCTTCCTTCTTTGAGGCAGCAAACCTGGACGAACCACCCCCCCAACCACCGCAGTGGTCGTGGACATCGGACTTCGGACCCCCCTGGCAGTTGCCCGACCGAACTCCGTTTCCGTGGCTCTCCACGGGTCAGCAGAGACCGGTCACCATCCACAAAGAGTGGCCGTCGTGTGCAATCAGCGATCGGCAAGTGCCAACTGGACATGATGAGTGTTTTTTGTTCCATCCCCAGCTGTTCTGGGCTTTTCTTGGACACCTTGAAAGTACGTCCACGGCCCGGGCTGGCGCAGTGGAGAACGCTCGCCATCTGGCGCAACGCAGCACAGGAAGTGCGTGGAGGTCAACGCTTCCCACTGACCACCCTAATTGGTGCTTCTGGGGGGGCACATTGCAGCATTCCACATGCAAGAAGATCTCCAAAGAGAATCTACTGTCCCAAAGGTTTTCAGGAGTTCCTGCTCTTGCTCTCCAAGTTGTGTCCAAAATGAGGATCCGTTGACTCGGACCAACCAAACATATCACGAACTGTGATGTGATTTGCTGCTGAATCCGAACCCGCCCTCCGGCCCTCGATGTGTTTTGCCGTCGAGCAGAGTCAAGCATACAAAAGCTGAGTGCAAAGTTCGGGTAAGACAGAGTGCATGAAGTGATATGAAGTGTGGCAGTGTTCCACTTCGAATCCCAAGCGATTCTGCCAAGATTTCACTTGCTGGTCGTGATCAGCATCGCCGCGATTCTTGCCACATCCAATCGCCGTGTTTCCCCGGATTGGTTGGGTTCAATCCCGAAGAGTCCTGGCGTCGCTTACGCATTCACGAAGCAAAGAACACGTACGTTACTACATGTCACTCAAAAACACTCCAAAGCTCCCAGACTCTAACACTCCAGACCTATATTTTTCGATCCAAGTATTATAGATCAAAGTAAAGATCAACAATAGATCAACCACCAGCAGTCACAAAGGGGTGCCTATTGGAGGATAGGGGTGCCCATTGTCCACTCACTTAGGGACTAAAAACCACCCCTTTGTGACTCCTGGCATACAATACTTTTCACCCCTGAACGACTTCCCCCTCACCCCGGCTCACCCGCCCGGTTCCTGCCTTCGGCTGAAGCCGCAGGCGGCTGCGGAGCCGCCCCGAGAAGCGGAAGCGCCGGCGCCTTCGGCGGCCGCGGAGGCGGAGGCGGAGCAGAAGGCGGCCGAGGCCAGACGCGATGCCAGCCCCGCTTCGTAGCGTCCTGGTTCCTAGTGCAGTGGTTTCAGAGTAGATGGCACAATCCTCATAAGGTGGTTGATACGGACCCCTATATACAAGACATTTTGGGGGTTGTGCCATCTGCTCTGAAACCACTGTAGTAAGGCCAGGAGCGTCCGGAAGAGGAAGGCGGAAGTTGGATTGATGATGTTGGAAGGTTCTGCAGGCACACCGTGTTGAATTCTCAGGGATGTGCTGTGGGGGATGGGGCTTCCCTGAACTTCCACGATTGTGATTTCTATTTCACGTGGGAGGTAGTCATGACTGAACTCCCTACCTACAGGTGGGTATCATATGGTATGAGTCATGACGTATCCCTGGGCTTCCAACCACCCTAGTTGAACCACCAGTGTTTTACCAAGGATGTGTCAACACGTTTCCGTCCCCAGGTCGTTCCCAGTTCCCATTAACTTCCAGGGGTATCATATGGTAATAGCATGGAATCCAGGCTCCAGGTATACCAAGTAAATGACTGGATGAGGATACCATATTACCCTAACAATCCTTGGGCTCTCTATGGCAGGGGTCTGGGCCCTCAAGACCCGTGTTTGAGGGCCCGGATTCTTAGGGTACAGTAGAATAAAATCATTATTGTTAGGGTAATATTGCGACCCTTCGAATACCACCCGAGAGACCCTATATTTATTGTTAGGGTAATATTCTTAATACCATTGATTCCATATGAATGGTTCGGGGCGCATCGCTTTTGGGTTGAGGTCAGGTCTCTCACACGAGCGAGGAGAGTGAGTGGAGACCCGTCCAACGGAATGTCTTGCATGATGGTGGTCTTTTCATGTTTATAGACTATATGTTTCAGGGGCATTTATAGAGGGGAATGCTTGATATAAAGTGTCCTTTTAGGGTGTCATGGTTTGGGATTCAAGTCACGGGTCTTCCAAGCAGACGGTCTGCAGCGGACGGAAGTGTACTTTCCAGGTCGCTCCACCATCGGTTCTTTCCCTCCTTTTTTCATCGACCGAGGCGGCCTTCGACCTGGGCTTCGAGGCGCCGCTTTCGACCAGTCTGGATCGGCGTCGCCATCTCGACCGGCACGAAGACGGTGAGGAGAGGAGAAGCAGGCTCCAATGGAGACCACGCTCCAATGGGACGGTGGGAGCCTGCAGGTCTGTTCGTTCAGTGCACGCAAGCACCGAAGTGTGCATTGATGCCGAAGTCTGGCACGGCTCATGAAAAGAGAAACTCTTCAAGCATATAGATCACCCGGATCCGCTTGGTATCAGATTTGTGTTTTTGGTTCCGTGAGGTTTTAGGAGAGCCTTTGGAACACCCGGGTGTTCTCAGCCCGTTCTCAGCTCCCTTCAGATCCGCCAGGGAGACGACTTCGATGACCTCTTCCTGGAAGAGGGCGAAGAGGAGGCCCACAACTTACTTCATCTTACTTCTGCGATCTTGAACCTTTCAGGTTTTTGAGGGGGATTGGTGGAACCGCATGTCTCCGCACTCCGCACTCGAAACTCGTGGAAAAAGGCTTCACCCTGCGCCTAGGGCTCCAGTCGTACCTCCTCAGAAGGTGTTTGGACCCTCCAAACCCACCCACCCAGTCCCACCTTCTCAGGTTCGGTACGACTGGAGCCCAAACGGGTTCATGTTTGCCAGGTGAAACCCGAAGTCAGCCGACGACCGATGTACCGCGATGCCGGGCAAGACACGGAGCGAAGAAAGACGATGTGGTGAAAACCGGTCTGTCTGTCGACCTGTCACGGGTGAGACACGGGTGAGACACGAAAATGGCACCAACACCGAAGAAAACCGCTTTCCCGTAAACTGAAAATGTGACCGACTTAGTAGATCGACTTATATAGTACTCTTGATTAAGAACCCCTCCCCCGACCCTTTGGATTGAGAAAACCTCTTCATCGCCACCCCCGCGGTCCGAACGCTTCCGTCCGATTTTCGACGGACGCATCGAACGACGTCACTGCTGACACTCATGGTCGAACAGCCAGGACCCTCCAACAGGCCACCAATTGAAACCTGTTAGTTAGGGCCCTTCCCAACCCTCCATTTCGGAGTAAGGCCAGGAGCCCCTAGTAGCGTCCTTGCTCCTAGTAGTAAGGCCTGGCAGGTTTCGGGTGCTGGAGTGGAAATCATCGGGCGGGGCGCGGGTGGTTTCCTCTCGAGTCGACGATGGGAGGATTGGCTCGACGACGATGATCTCTTAGATCTCGAGTCCGGCGAAGAGGACCTCTTCCTCGAGGTCGGACGGCGGGACGGCGGGACAGGTGATGGGGTGTGACGGGGTGGAAGATCATGGCACGCGCCAGTGTCCGGATGGGAGACCCGGTGGAAAGGGGATGGGCGTTCGACGATGATATGATGATGGGAGATGATGGGCGTTCGGATCAAAGTTTGGATCACCAAAAAGGGAAGGTCAGAGTTACGAGGGGTGCTGCAAAGTCTTCGATGTGTTGACCCCCAAAGCTTGAAGGCTGGGTGGTTTCTTTTGCTTGGACCTCTGCCGGTTCAACTTCCTTCGAGCATGCATCAAGCCGGTGGTTTTTGGAAAACGTCCTACACCGTCTACACGTCAAAGAGGACCAAGAGAGGTTGAGAGACTAATATAGGACCCTGTAGCGGTACATATGGGATGGGCTATAGGGCTGTTCAACCTGTCTTGGGATGTTTCACATCGCTGGCTTGGATGGTAAGGCTGCCTTCCTTCGGTTCTGGCTCCTTGGAGCCACCAAGAGATCCTCCAAGTAGGCTCTGCTACGCCTCCTTGCTGCCAGGAGGATGAGGAAGAGGAGCGGCAACCCGCACTGGACGGCACGGGCCGGAAGCACCTGAAAGCGCACCCGAACAGGCCAAGGGATTCGGACTCCCAACAGCCAACGAAGAGGCTTCTTTTTTTGTGAATCTGAAAAGCCCTCAAAGTGGAACAGTGAGTTGCTCTGGTTGGGTTTTCTGCACGGCTTCACTCTTGGCTTCTGGTGAGATGATCCACGGCGCCGTGTTGGTGAGATGGGGGCAAATCCAAGTGCAGTAGACTCACCTTTGGAATGGTGAAACTTGGCCAACTCATCTTCAATGAGGAAAACACACAGACGCCGGTGTTTTGCTCTATGTTTTTCTCGGTGAAAGAGGCTGCTGCAAGCCAGATCCGTTGTCCATAGGATCTCAAAGTTCCCCCCTTCCTACAAACAAGGCAAAGCAAGCAACATCTAAGCGATGACCTCCAACCTACTAGCAATGGCCTCCAACTTAGAGAAAGGAGAAAAGAAAAAGCAGTTGAAACTTCGGAAGCAAGCCCCTCTTTTCCGACCTCTTTTTGGGCTGCACCCCTTCGGCGCTGCGTCGGCCGTCGCCGTCGCCGGCTCCGCAGGAGGATTTAGACCCCGATGGGGTGGTGGGACCACCGGGGGAGTGAGCGATCCATTGATGGCGCCGGGGCGGTCGACGCGGTTCGACGCCGCGGATAGGTTTGCGGTTCGACGCGGACCGGGGCATTCCGAAGACGGAGCTGCCCTGGAGACGAACTAGGCACTTGTAACTGGTAGCTTTTCGAAGCAAACAAACATGAATGAAAGAAAAGCAGGATGGGAGGGTTCCAACTTGCCACCCTGAAATCCCCAACGCTTCGAATGGAGTTCCAAGTTCTTTCAGACATCGAAACCAACCGACTGCAACGGTCCAGACCGCGGCGACCGCTCCGTTGTGGCCAGTGGGATCAATGGCCGCAAAGGTTTTGACTCTGCTCAGCCCGCTGAACCGACCGATCTGTTGAACTCCATGGCGGTGATGGCCCAAACACGAGGCCGGAGAGGCTGGAGAGGCGGGTCGCGACGCGCGGCGCAAGTGCTGTGCTGCGCGACGAAGAACACCGGGGGAGGCACTGGACCGAAGGAAGGTGTGCCTGGACCGTTGTACAGATTGCCGAAGGAAAAAGGTCGTGGTGTTGTTTAGCGTCGAACAGTCCTGACCTGAACTTGGAAGGAAGCAATGAAGATTGGAACGGAATACATTCTCGATATTTTTGGTGAGGGTTTGATGTTCGGGTCTTGAGTTGCAGTCATCGATGTTGCTTCAGGCATGATTGATCATTTGCCAGATATAATTGTAGGGCTCCAAGTGACTTTAAGCAAGGTGGACGGCAGGTGTTGCCCGACGAGATTCACGACGCCAAGAGCGTAATACGCTTGCCCAAATCTACGACGAGATGGTTGGTTGTTTGCATGTGTTCAATGGAAAGAAATGAAAGAGGAATGCTGAGAATTGTTGGTTCTTTTCATGGCTTTCTTTGAACAAAAGAAAAGAACTTCCTCCAGAAGCACCGGTTCTCCGGAAGCACTTGGAAACGAAGATCGCTCGGCCTTTTTCGGGCTCGTCAAGCCTCGCGCCGCGCGCGCCGCGTTCCCAGTTCTGTTGCCACAGCGGAAGACGCTGTTGAGCCATTTGGACCAGTCAATGAGTCCTTTTCAACGTCGATCTATCAGTCCACCTTCTTCGGTGCTGGTGAAAGCAAATGATCTTCAATCTCGCCATGCCGTGCTTTTTGATTTGGAGTCAAAGTCTCAACAAAGTCTTCAGCTCCTTCAGCGGAGAATGGCAAGGAGGCCGATCGACCGAAGCCAACGTCTCCCCCCTCCGTTGGAACCACCGATGGCCCGTCCACCGGTCACGAACTCCAATTCGCACAGAGACTTCCATGTCGACGTGTCGACACCACGGGAACAGCAGGAACTCTTCCCCTTCGGCACACTGGCACACTCCTATACTGCATTTGTTCATATTCATATTCACATCCCTTCATCCACTCACTCCCCAAACGACCTCCTGCGTCCGAAACCGGCACCGAATTTTCATCGGCACCCACCGGAAGAACCGATCCGGCCATGGCGGCGCGGCAGCGGCTCAGCGAGCAAACCTCCGTGTCCGGCGCGAAGATGTGCCGTGGTCAGCGATGGCATCGGCTCAGAGTGGTTGTTCTGATGACGTGTTTGATGGTAGGGACGTTTAAGACTAAGACCTATAATTATCTAATTACATTACTGTACTAGTAGCTCGCGGATAGATCTACCATGTTCCGGGAGCAATCTTGCAAAGGGAAAACAACGAAAAAAGGGATCTTTTCCAGCAGGGCGGGTCCCCAGGGTCTTTTCGTTTTCGGTGTCTTGCGGAGTCTCTTCCCGAGGGAAACACCCCGCTGTGCGCACGCAGGCTGGGCGCACGAAGACGTCATCCGGAGGCCTCGGAACCCATAATTCGGCATGGTTTTTGGAATCCCCTAGGGATCCAAGTACCTTCTCAGAAGGTGTTTGGGGTGGTTTGGAGGGTCCAAGTGCCTTCTGAGAACGTACTTGGATCCCTAGGGATCCTCACCCGAACAGCGGACTTGGTGCCACAAACGCTCAGCTCTCCGAGGCGAAAAACCAACGAACCGCGCCGCGCTATTCCTTCGGAGTGTGAGTTCGACCGAGGCGCTACCTGGAGGCACCCGGAATCGCTGTCTCCCTACGACGCGACCGCGGATCGTCGCGGAGCGTTCGGTGGATGGTGCGTTCGGTGTGAGGCCGAAGGACCTTTCGTCGTCGTGCGACGTCGACCATTCGAGGTCACCAAAAACCTCTCGAAGGGTACGGACCCAGAAGGAGTCTGAAAAATCCAAGAAGATTGTGAGAAAGGCTCGCTGAAACCGAGGACCAGCGTGGCTACTATCCGGCTGCCTTTTTGGAAGCGCTGCTGAAATGGGGGGATGTAAAGGCTTAGCTGAAAATACACCAAAGAATCTACCAGGACCCCAAAACCAGCACCCGGTCACCGATTGAAACCTGAAACCTGTATTCAGGCCCTTCCCACCCAACCCTCCAAGGCTAGGAGACCTGGTGGGGAGACCGAGTGCTGGTATTGAACAAGACCGGTGTTTGTACGGCAGGTGGTCGGCTTCGTCGACTGGAGAACGTCAGTCGACTGGAGAGATGAAGTGTGTTGACCCTCCTCGTGCTCTTTTGGCATCCCAGGCAGTTACCACGGACAAGTAGAGGAACCAGAGGCCCTCGAAACCGGTCGAACTGCTTTGAGTCTCTTTGGTACCAACTGGGACTCCCAGCAACGTCGTGGTTTGGGATGTGTTGGGGTGCTGTTTTGGCTATAGGGGTGTTCTTTTTTCCCAAAACGGGGCTGGCACTACAGCGGGCGACTCCTTCGTTCCCCTTCTGCGTCCGGTCCGTCGGCCGTCGCCATGGCTCGAGACGACCACCCCGAAGGTTTCATCTATGCACCGAAGGTTTCGCTCACCGAAGACCCATGCCAGGACCTTCCCACTCATTCTGGGATCTCGAAAGGTCACTTTGAAGGTCCTGGTGTGAGATTGTATGTTTTCCATGCTCCTTAAATAGATCAGGTGGAGTTAGGTAGGTGGGACCTCAGCTAGGGCCTGCCCAGCTGAGGTCCACCCCCTTCAGGTTCAGGTTCAACTGCACCCACCGCCTCGCGCCAGGAGAAGGTCAACCCTGTGTTGCAGGATGGGGGACGAAGTCGACGAAGCCGACGAGACCAAATCACCCAAAAGAACCACACTCCCGAGTCAACTAACATACCAGCAGTCACAAAGGGGTGCTTAATGGAGGTTAAGGGTGCCCATTATCCACTCACTTAGGGACTATAAACACCACCCCTTGGTGACTCCTGGTAGACCCTGACGTCCTGGCCCCAGTTTTCCTCTACCGACCAGTTTTCACCTCGTGGTAGAAGATTGTGTTCCTCTACCGACCAGTGGTTTTCAGGGTCCATGTTAGTCTTCCAGGGTGCATGTGTTTTCGAAGGCGCAGGGTCTTTTGTGGTCAGCTAAGACCAGCAAATGTTTCGTTGGAAAGGAGGCTGTCGGAAGGAGCAAGGAAGTGTGCAAACTCCACCAATCCTGCAAGCCATCATGCCATCTGCTGATGTCAACCGACTTCGGGGTCACAATGAGACTGATGTTTGAGTTTGGAGAAAAATCATCCGACACAATGAGCTTTATATTACTGCCAAATCATGAAGAGAAGAAAAAAGTGCCAGCCTTCCGCTGCAAACGCTTTCGCTTTCTTCGCTCAGCGTCGGCTCGTGGCGCGCGGCGCGTCATCAGGAGATGGTGATGAGCTTGCTGATGGCTTGTCCAGAGGATCCCCCAGAGTTCATGCTCAGGCGACGGATGAGTGGATGGATGTGAGTCCTGTGGATGTCCGCTGGTCCGCTAGCTTTATGGCTCATGAGGGTTTCTCTAAACCCAAGCAACCCGCGTTTGACGGGTTTTTGCTTGTTTTTTTTGCAAAGTGTGACCTGCCCAGATGGGGTTGGGGGGTGATTACAGTTGATGTTCGGGATCCTTGATGTCAAAAGAGCAAACTCCAGAAGTCCAAGGATTCCAAGCAGCTCGCCGCCGGCCACGGAACCTTTGGATGTGTCTTGGGGACCTCCCAGGCGTTCCGACTTGCTGGGTTCGGTGGGTCGGGAAATAGCCCTAAGGGTCCAGGACCATCCGTTCTCGGATGTCCTTTGACCCCCCCGTTCGACCATTCTCTGGAAGTACGTACTCACCTCCGTTCGACCATCCGTTTCGTACGGAGGTACCTGGACCCGCACTGGGTAGACTATAGTCCATCCAACAAGGTCTCCCCTCTGTTTCTCGCTACACATCCAATTCCGAAGAAGATGGGCAGGTGGCTCTTGGAGCAGGACACACGTGCGCACCGCTCCGGCGCGCCCGCGCCCGCGGGCGGTGTGTCGAGCGATGGGGGTCGGTGGGTCTCGACGCCAGGCGTGTCACACGGCGTGAGATCGTTCATGGGGGTCGGTTCATGGCTCCGTAGATGGGGCGGAAATCACGGAAGGAGAGGAGGGTGTCTTAGCATCCGTGATGTTCCATCTGAGTGGCTTGGAGGGAAGGAGATGGGGCTTGTCGCAAGGAATTCAAGAGTCTGATGAAGAGAGCGGATCTATGGAGCGAACCTGTTTGGAGAGCCCAAGATGGGACTGCCTTGCTGCAAGACCTGTCTTGACCCTTCACCGCGGGCGTTTTGGGGCACACAAAAGCGCGTGTGAAATTCCATCCAAATCCTTAGGATTCTTTACTAAGGATTTTTACACTACACCACCAGCTCAACCGTTCTTTTATTGTCTTTGAAGGCTAGGTAAATGGTTTGGGTCTTTGGGATTCCAGCCATTCAATCAATCCCAGACGCGACTAATGGGACTGGCATATTTACTTATATTAGGGTGGTGCCAGAGGGGTCTGTCTGGGGCGGCAAATAGTACAGTCCCAGACGGGTCGTGTCGAATTGTATTCAATTGGTGCGCCAATCCGAACGGACCATCCAACAGAGGTGGGTCAGAACCGTTCGACTATCCCATATAGGTACCCCAGTAAGGTCCTAGTTCAGGTCACGGACC